TTACATAAGACTTCCTGATATTTCACCTTCCACATTTAGAATTGTGACATTTCAGTCCTGGAGATACACATTGAGACCATTTGAGATTCTATAGATGTTGCTAAGATAAACCATTTTTAGTAGGCCACTGAACTCATGGCAGTAGTTCTGGTTTTATAAGAAATTTTGTTTTTAACATCTGTATATCAAATTCCTATGAGCATCTTTCCCTTTGACAGCTACCACACGAAGCTTTGGAAACCAGAGGCCCATGGTCCTTGCCCAGTCTTTTGCATAGCATGCTAAAAATATGTGCCTCAGTGGCTGTGATTCCCTTGCATGCCCAATTTTTCCATTTATTTCATTATTGAATTAAGAACAGGAAAATACTGTTGACTGCCAACTCTTGCCTGTGAGTTAAATAGAGTGCCTAGGGGCATTCAGATAGAATATTCTGCTTAGCATGATGACACTCTTTGGTAACACACATCTCTAACTGATGCTCTGCTAGTGATGATGGCCACCAAGTTTCTGTAGTCTGTATACTGGCTCAGAAACAATCATTACAGCATAATCTTTCTGCTATTGTAATGGGGTTCTCAATGATAAACAGAGTAAAGTATTGTCCAGAATTGCACAGATCTGCTGGCACATGTAGGAGAGTGAGTGCCCTTATGCACTGTATTTCATAAAAGGGATTTTGCCAGTAGCCCATCTGTTTTTCTCTTGGTGTGGTGCTTTGTTTTTATATTTCTTTCCTAATGCTCTCACTCATTTTTAAATAATAGTATATAATTTTATACCTGCTGTTGCTCTGAGGTATGGAACTTTGAATAATCCTTCTCCATCATTAGTGACAAATTTATCAATTTCATACTAGAAAGCATTATTTTGCAACTATTCTTGGGGGGGGGAAGATGAAATAGAACACATTAACTTCTATACCCAAGAGCACATGGCGATTCCTTGGAAATGTCCTTGAGTCCTTCATGGCCTGGAGTCACGTTTTGTTTTGCCTGTTTTGTTGCCACGTCTGTCTCCTTGTGTGGAACAAATGGCGGTCAGGCTTTCAGAAGACTTGGGTCCTTAGTCATTCTCTGCTGCTAAACCAGTTGTGTGACCTTTAGAAAGTCTCTTAACCTCTCTGGGCTCGAGTTTCTTTATCTTAAAAGTTTTATTCACATCTACAAACCTTATGATTTTTTAAGACTGAATTTAATGGGCTTATTGTTTGCTTTAAGTGTGTGATTTCAATTCTCTTCATCATAAATTATAATTTTATAAGCACAACTATCAATTATGTTTATAAAATACATGATTTTTAGAAAGGGAAAAAACCCATTAAATTTCTTATGAATAAACCATTCAACAGAAAAGAGATGGATGAAGGCAGTGATATTTCTCACTAAATGTTGCCTTTCAGGTTGTTAAAAATGAATGTTTTGTTGTTAAAAATGAATGTTTTGTTTTTTATTTGAAACCCTCAAAGAATGCTCTGTCCGTTTTAGCCATATAGTGTTCCTTGCAACATTGTTTAAGGCTCCCAAATGTTCAATTGAGAAACCATTTTGAAATGCTTACAAGGGTAATTTTGATCATTTTAACTTCTGGCTGTGAATTATTGCCAGTGTTTTGAATCTGTCATTCTTATGTGATGAGAAGAAATATTACTGGCTCTAATATAATACTGGCTCCAATTTTTGCATCAGTTTTGTTAAAACATGAAAAACGTTCTCTCAATTTCTACAGCTGCTTAAATTTTCCTTCAGCATTATTAATATACCCCCTCTGAGGTCTTTCCTTCCCTTTTGCTTTCTTATCAGTGTTCTGTGTATGTATACATATGTATATATATGTGTATGTGTATATGCATGTGTATGTATACGTGTATGTGTATGTGTATGTATATGTATGTGGTGCTTTTGAAGTTAACAGAAATTTCAAAGCAGTGACAGGAGGTAGTCACATAAAACTTGTTAAATATAATCTGCTGGAAAACAGAGTAGATGTGAGAAGAAGGCTGGGCGAGTTAAACACACACATGACATTTACTTCTGTAGAAATAAAGTGTTTCTGAGAAATCATTCATTCTTGCCATTTCATTTTTGGGTTTTGTCATCTTTTAAGTTTTTTCCTTGGAAGCTTCTAAAATCTGTCAACGTAAGGAAGTTTTTAACTACATTTTACAAGCTAATTCATAAATATTTTAAAACAGTTATATCTTCCTGTGGAAAAGGCATGCCCTGAGGTATAGAAAGAGATTGAATAAACTCTGGTGCCTGTCCACAGTGGAGTACAATGCAGCTGTAGAAAGGAATGTGGGCAATTGCTGTGAGCCTACATGGAGCGGTTTCCAAGGGACATTAGGAAGAAAACACATATTCTATCCTACCTTTTATAAGAAGGAAGGGAAGATTAAGAAAAAAATAATTGCTTATTTTTACAAGCAGAAACCCAGGAAGGATAAACCAGACACCAATGAGGTTGGTTGTGCACAAGAGGTGGAATGGAGTGGATAGGGTATGGGAGGGAGAGACACTTCCTTGAGTACCTTTTTGTATAGCTTTAATTTTGGGGAGCATGTTAATATTTTGCATATTAAAATATAAAAATAATTCATTAGGAACTGAAAACAAATAGAAACAAATGAACTCAACTGTATTTCAAATGAATACCGTAAGTGCATTGAAGAAAGAAAAAAAAGCATATATCTCACTTGTGGATGGCAGTGGAGCAGGGAGGGAAAATTGCAAACAAGTCCTGAACTCTTTTGTGGGTTTATTTATTGTAGTAGTGTGGGTGGAACAATTCTGAAACTATAATAGATATACTATAGGATTTAGCACATGAGTAAATGTGTTGACCTTGTTAAAGGGGAAATAGAAATGTGGATAGAAAAAGGCAGAGCAAGTCCTTTGGGGGTGAATTGGAATTAGATGAATCTGTTTGAATTTATGATTTATAAAAATATATATGTATACATAGATTTACATACGTGTGCACATGTTTATGTATGTATGTGTATGTGTAATCTGCATGTAACTGTATAATGAAGGAATTGGACCACACTGTAGTAATTGTGTAATCAAAATTAATATCACCAATGGGGGACACACGAACATCAGGTGGCTTTCAATATGATATCCTGAGAGGGACACATCACCACCATTCAGTGTACTGGCAAAAGAATGCATACCTGAATCTAATCGTGGAGAGACATCAGACAAATCCAAAATGAGAAAATTTCTATTTTAGTAAAATGGAAGAGAGAAAAGGCTATGTTCTTTGAAAATGTCAATGTTCTAGAAGATAAAGAAATGCTATGGAGAATGTTCCAGATTAAGGAAGACCAAAGAGACATGTCAATTAAATTTAATATCTGACCCTAGACTGAATCCTGTTTCAGATGGGAAAAATGTTATAAAGTTCATTGTTAGGTAGATTGGAAAAATTGGAATATGAATGGAATATTAGTTAAAAGTGTTATGTAAATATTAACCTACAGAGGCTGATAAATTAGCTATTTTTATGCAAGAGAATGTTTTTGTTCTTAGGGAGAGTACACTACTCTGAGGGAAACATATTTAGTATTTAGGGGTAAAGGGTCCTCGAATGATTCAGAAAAAATGGTATGTACATGTATATGTATATATATATGCATATCTGTATATCTATTTCTGTATACACACAAACATGAGAGCGAGGGAGCAAATGAATATGATAAAGCAAGTGAGGTGGAATGTTAATATACCTAGGCAAAGGCTATAAATATTCTCTTTACTATTTGGTCTTGGAACTCTAAATTTGACATTTTCAAATGAAAGAGTTTTTCAGAAAAATAAATTTTGCTTAAAAAATAGGCATTCATATGTTAAGCAGTAATAAATAATAATACCGTTAGGGATTAGAAAGCAGCTCTTGAACTAGATTTTAATCATCATTTTCCATTAGTATACTTATACATTTATTTGCAATTAAGAATAAATTGACTAGTAATGTTGAATCTGCTTGAAACTGTCTGCTCAGAACTAATAGTAATTCAGCAAGGCTGTGGGAAATAAGATCAGTATTAAACTAAATAATAATGAATGGGAACATATTACAAAGTCTATTACGAATTAGATTTCATTTACACTACTAGCAATAAGCATTACAAAGTGCACAGAAATAAGCATGACAAAGCATTTTTGTAGTCTTTGTGAAAATTTAAAACAACACCTTGGACAGATGTAAAGATTAGATTAAATGGAGGAGAACAAGTTGCTGAATTATAGAACTCAATATGATGAAGATTGCTCTCCAGGTAGAAAGACTCATTATGAGCAAATAAGCCAATGAACAGAATAAAAAGACCAAGAAATAGACCTACAAATATGTATCAGAGATAGCTTTACAGATCAGTGGACTATTCGAAAAATTCTTGTTCAATACTTGGTTTTCCATATGAAAAAATAGACTCCTCACACCACAGAAAAAGTCTAATCCAGTTACACTGTAGATTTACATATGAAGAACAAAATTTTAAAAGAGCATTGTAAGAACATCTGTGTAAGTTCAGGGTTGCCGGGAATTTCATAGGCTAAATGTACCAACTGTACAGGAAATAATTGATATATTTTACTACATAAAAATTTTTTAAAATTGTCTACAACAGAGTCCTCAGAAACAAAGGGAAGAGCCAAGTCACAGACTGGGAATAGGTAATTGTTGTCAACAACAGAGGATTGCTTCCAGAGCACAGGAAGAGCTACTTCAAATCATTAATGAAAAATGAGCAGAAGGAATAAATATGGAGTTCACAGGACATAAGTTTTGTAGATAAACTATTTCAAAGCACATACAATGATCAAACCATCTCTCAGGGTCAAATATGTAAGAGAGTCTTCCTATCTTTAGCTATAGTACTGAGCTTCCAAACTAGCACAGTAAGTTCTTGATTGTGTGTACAGCCACACCAAGTGTTTTAATATCACATTGTGAATATATGTCAGTGGCTAATGTTATATCATGAAATTTCATAGGACCAATCCTTTCCAGAGTACGAAAATGGTTTTCAGGTTGGAATGAGATTAGAAGGCATTGACCCCCGACATCCATCTGTATTTTGTGTGCTTTCTGTAGCTGAGGTAAGAGATGGTGTTATCCTCTTGAGCTATTGCACAGTGAAGTGACAGAAGATAATTTTCTAAAGAATAATGAATTGAGTACTTTCTGTTCTAAGCAAGTTCCAGTATGTTATGGATTTATTTTAGTCAATGATGGGTGAAATATGTTTCTTAATGATTTTTTTCCTCTGAAGATTAGTTTTTTAATAAGTTCTTCATCCCTAGCAGGTACTCTTGATTTAATTGGTAAATAGTTTTCACCAGAGGTTGATAACAATCGGTGAATTCCACAATGTTGCTTTTTGTCTATTAAAGGAGACATAATTATTAAAATTTTAGCTGAACTAATCAGAAATGCATATGTAAATATCCATGAATATGAATTATATATTTCCATAAATATATGCATTTTGTGCAAATTATAGAGTGAAGAGCCACTGATGAAAGTAAATGGCTTATAAAATGTCATATTTACTAAATATTATATATTATTAAATTGATAAAAAACATATATATACATATATATATTTAAAATATGTCTTCATTGATTTCAGAGAGAGGAAGGGAGAGGGAGAGAGAGACATAGAAACATCAATGATGAGGGAGTCATTGATCAGCTGCCTCCTGCACACCCCGCACTGGGGATGGAGCCCACAACTTGGGCAAGTACCCTGACTGGGAATTGAACTGTGATCTCCCAGATCCTAGGTCGGTGCTCAACTGCTGAGCCATGCTGGCTGGGCAAAGACCTGTATATTTTTAACAACATCAAAATAGAAAACACTGGTCACTTAATTTACTGATTGATTATAGCTATAAACATATATAGCATGTCTAGAGTATATGGTTCTCAGACTTTTATTATTTCCTTTATTGAGTCTGGTGGATTTATATGTTAGAGTTGAAATAAGACCACATCTATTTGGGTTTTGCTTTGTACTTTAGCTTACTCTGTCTTGAGATATGACTCCAAGCCAGACAGTAAGAGATGGGGTTTCTGAAAGGAATATTTGACAGGCATTGCTTTAATAAATAAACTCACTGATTAGTAAACATGTAAATTGACCTCAGATTCCTAGACTGAGTAAAAGCGTAATTATTTCTACAGAAAAAATTCTAGGTACTTGAAAGACAGTGTATTTTGTCAGCATTTGTCTTACGTGGATGTCGTTTGTACATTTGTTCTTTAATACAAATATGTTTAGATGGAAGAATTGGTTCACATGTGTTGTTAGCATTGACAGTATATGAATATTTTAATTTTTTGTATACTTCAAATACATGACACAATGAACGGTTGCAAACATTCCATTTTGCAGGTGTGTGGCTACCGTCTAAGGCTTCATTTTGATGGTTATTTAAGCTGCTACGATTTTTGGACCAATGCCGGTTCCCCTGACATTCATCCAATAGGGTGGTGTGGAAAGACCAAACATGAATTGCACATCCCTAAGGGTAAGTGAGGATGGAAAGACAGTGAGTTGTTATTTCAGTTTTATTTTAACGACTTTTTATGAAATGATAATGAGAGCCTGGTGTGATTTGGTTTCCAAAATGAAAGTTTGATCCACAAAAGGAGTAAGTCTGTAAGGATACCATTCTTAGAAATAAATATCTTTAAAAGGAAAGTATCAGTAACTGTTTGAGTCAGATACTCTGATAAAGCAACTGGGGCAGAATTAAAATCTTATGAGAGCATTTTATTTTACATAGAGTTTATTAAACCTCATAAGGAATGAAGAAACTAATGTTTGAATCGTGATTGAAATGACATCTCAATCAGTGATACTGTACAGTGAGGAAACTTGACTCACTGTCATTGTTTCCAACAGAAATTATGGAGAACAGGGAAATATGAAATAGAAAACAATTTCACTTTTTTTAGATGGAAAACAAAAATCTCATCTTTGTCTTTTGTTATGTGCTAGAGGAACCTGGACTGGCAAATGTGACTGAAGCCTTTTTTATTTGCTGAGTGCTAGTGAGGTGAGGATTTGACCAGTTGAGATGCCAGTGGGCTGATTTCTTTGCACAGCAAAGTTCTGTATAAGGTCTCCTGCTTGGATGCGAGACGATTTGATGACTGTGGAAACTTTTCGAGTTAGTATATAGTCATTTTATTGGCAGTAACCAATTCAGGGTATCCTTTGGGATCTGTCCCTGAGACTAATGACAAAGTCCCTTAACCACACCTTGTTGGCTGGCTATTTAGAGTGAAAACTGGCCCATGTGGCCGGCTACTTTTCTGCCATGACCAGTCAGCAAGGTGTTTAAAAGTACTTAAATTAATGTAAGTGCAGACACAAGTTATCTCATGACTGGTCAGCAAGGTGTTTAAGGTTGCTGGATTTCATGGAAGCTGATAATAGGCCAGAGGCTCATTCATTTGGTGGGTATTTGTGGAGCCCTTACTCTGTGCAGGCACTGGGGATATAGCAGTGAATAAAATAAACCGTTTCCGTCTTTATGGGACTTCCATGCTGGAGGGGAGAAGAGTAATAAACAAAGACAAAGATTCAGTGTCCGACAGTGACGGGGTAGGAGGCCCGAGAGCATCAGAGGGAGACTCTTCGACTCAGTGTGGTGCAGAAAGGCCTGAGAAGGTGACACCTGACAGATACATAGGTGAAATGAGAGAGAAAGCAATGTGGCTACGTGGTTAAGAGCACTTGTCAGAGAGAAAAGCAAGAGTGCGTGTCCCAGCACCAGAGTGGTGGGTGCAGTTGAGGAATCATGAGAGGAAGGTGGCTGGAAGAGAGCAGCAAAGGCGAGAAGACAGGAGACGAAGTTGGAGATGCAGCCATGGCTTTGGAGGCTGTTCAAGGAGTTTGACTTTTATTCTCAGTGTAACAATGACTCAGGAAATATTTATTGAACCCGTTTTATTTGGGCCAGCACCCTGCGAGCCACTTTAGGGCACATGGATGGGACGATAATGCATTTTTTTATGGGAAACTTGTAAAGCTATGGATCAGAAAGGTGGAGCTGCCAAATGGTCTTCTGATTGTGAAGGTGTTTCTGTAACTTATGCCAAGTGTCTGGCACCTGGGATTGTTGCACCATCAGTACCTCTGATGGCCTGTTGACATGGCTTCTTCAGGAGTGATGACAAACTCAGGAACTTTTGTCTCCTTCCTTTGCCCATTTTGGAAAGTCCTAATGGGATATGAGACACCCACCAAGCCACCAGGGCACCAATCCCATATCTTAATGAATTTAAAAAAATTGTAGGGAATGATATGAATGATAGGGAATCACACTCAACAGTTTTGAAGTTCATACCCTCAAAAATATTGAAAAAAATCTAGAAATTTTAATTTAAATCTTTGGTGTTCTGCTAAAGGACATTTAGTTTATGGAAGAAGACTGAATAAGAGTTATATATTTAGTATGCACATGGTTATGTCTTGCGGGTATCTTTAGTAATCCATCCTTTTTTTAGGTTATAGAAAAGACAAATTTGTTTGGATGAATTATTTGAAGGCCTGCAAATTCCAAAATGCTCCCAAGAAATTATTCAGAAACAGAAGTTCTGTAAGTATTTTCTGCTTCAGTATAAATTAGATTTTCCTTGAGCTTAAACTTTTAAAAATCCACTATATGTTCTGTTGTACTTTAATTTTTAAAGAATTCTTAGCTTCCTGTTGACTTTTCTCACTTAATATGTCAGTTTCTTATAGGCATACCTTTTTATCCCCTTTAAACATATAATTAAATACTTTCATGGATGGAGAGAGTTGAAAACTTTATATTTAAAGCCTGCAAAAATTTAAAATACCTTTTAGAAATTTTTTTTTCTGTGCTTTCATTAAGGTAGTCTTTTAAAGTTAGTTTTGGTGTTTTGAAACGAGTAAATGCCCCAGGTGGATTTTGAATGTACCCATCCTAGCTGGAATTATGTGTAATAACAATGAGGGTGTCATTTTATACAGATTCAAGGGGTGTATGAGAATTTGGGCAGAGCACACTTACCCCATCTGTGTCCCTAGCTGTGTCTCCTAACTGTCTTAAGGAGAGAATGAGGATAGGTCGCAGCCCGGCCCCTCTGAGCCCGTGGGCCCAGCAGTGAGGCCACACACCAGGGAAAGGGGTGGGGAGGCCTAGAGTCAGAGGTCAGCCTTGTTATCTGCGGGCTGTGTCCCTGTGTAGGAGACTTGCCCAGCTTCTCTAAGCTTCAGTGTCTGATCTTGAAATCAGTGTTTCATTGAATGTTTCAAGGAAAAAAATGTGAAGTTGCTTTGGAAAATGTCATGTGCTAAAGAAAACCAAAAATCAGGTTAGTACAGGTGGTGAAGAGTAGAGAAAACTTCTTCTATACTTTCCAAGTCTCAGGGCTGGCTAATTATAAGACAGCTGTACAAAAGTGTCTTTTTGTTACTGTAATGTTACTGTAAATCAGAGTCCTTAGTATTTTTAAATACTAAAAATATGTGCAGATAATAAAAAAGCATTTGGATTTTTCAACTATAGTTTTATTTGCGGATTAGTGTATGTGTTCCTTAAATATTGAAGAAGCCATTATTTTCAGATCTGATCAAAGTAAATAATTTTGGTTTTAAGGAATATATCTTTATTACTTTTCCAAAATAGTGATGTTTGAAAGCTATTCAAAAGCTTATGAGGAGCAGAGGAAATTATTTGATACTACTAAATTCATTAAACATATTTTAAAATTAATACAAATTACTCTAAGAACTGAAGAAGAGGGAAAATGACAGTGATAAGGGAAATAAAGCCTATTTGGACAAAGAGAGAGAATAGCACAGTGTAGAAGCTAATTTCCCGATCTTTGTTCTGAATGTAAACCTCCTAACCGTTTGTTGGACTATTTTTACCAGCAGTTGCTGGCTTCATTCAGGAGGGTAAGTGTTGAGACTTTTCTGATGCTAAACATCATAGAAGTTTTGACCATGTCCTGCTTGGTGTCCTTTTTCTTTTTGTGCCTCTTCTTTCTGGTGCTGTGTCAGAATGGGCCAATGCCTAAAGAATTTCAGATTGGAATGAAGCTGGAGGCCGTCGACAGAAAGAACCCTTCACTGGTGTGTGTGGCAACTATAGCAGATATTGTTGAAGATCGCTTACTAGTGCATTTTGACAATTGGGATGATAGTTACGATTACTGGTGAGACACCGTTGTGCATTTATTGTTGTGTGTTCATGTTTGGTGTTAAGAATTCCTTTCCATTCCAGTACTGTCACTGCTCTTCCTGTTCTTAAGTATGAACAACAGAAATTCACTACTTTCTCTTCTACACAAAGTGTTGAATTCAAGAGCCCAAGAAACTTTTTCTTCATTCCAGGAGAAGTTACCTAATGAGGCCTCATCTGAAATCATATGACCAGTTCAGGGCACTTCACTGTGTTCTGTCCAGTTTGTAAGGGAAGCATTTTTGTGAAGAGGGAGTTAAGAACTTGCAGTATTTTTTCCCTGAAAAATGTTGAACTCACCCTGTCATATTTTTAAAAGGGAAGATTCAGGGAGAATGGAGTGAATTATTTGAAAACCTATGGGGAGCAGAGAAAATGCATGCTACAGTGCCATTAAACTAACATTGCATGAGTTAAAAGGGTTTTCTGGGCAAAAACCTGAAATATGGAAGGGGAGGGCATGGCAACAATAATTTTAGTAGCTGTTCTTCATAGGATGTCCTGAGTAACCAGCAAGCCCCTGCCCGAGGCTGTGGTTCTTCATGTGCATGAAGGGCCTCCTGTTTTCTTCTTTGAACTAAGCAGCAGAGCAAAGATCAATTGTTGTATGTGTCTTAGGTAGAATAGTCTGAATTCTTTGAAAAGGAGACAAAAGAAATATGTAGTCATAAGGAGTCTGATTGGGCTGTTCATAAATTTGGACTGGCCTATTAGTATTTTTCCTTGCTGCTAACAGTGATAGAAGAGGTTTTTTAAAATATTCCCTCTTTGGGGATATTACTGGAAGTTCTAGTCCTAGTCAAATACTTTTTATTTTATATTTTTAAATTTCAAGGTTATATAAAAGAGAAGCTTGGTCACTCAGCTTACAAAATATACTACTAAAAATTACTTCTATTTCTCTTTAGCTATAAAATAATGTTTTAGCTGTGAAGTAACATTTTCCATGGCTTAATATCCAGAATGCTCATTACCCTTGGATTCTTTCTCCGGCTTTGAGTAATATGGGATCTAAATAGAATCCTGTTTTTGCAGGTGTGATGTAAATAGTCCTTATGTCCAACCAGTTGGTTGGTGTCAGGAGAATGGAAGAACTCTGATAGCACCCCAAGGTGAGTGAACTGGCTGGGTGTTCTTTGAGGTCATCCTATGTGAGTAGCAATGACTATTCTTATTTTCATTTATATAAACCAGATCGCATATTGTGTTTACCCATCATGTTCCCTTAGTGTCCTTCAGTCTGCAACAGTTCTTCAGTCTTTCCTTGACTTTTATGACCTTGCCACTTTTGAAGACTATAGGTCATCCTTTGGTTTTTCTGATGCTTCCTCAGGAGTAGGTGTGGACTGCACACCTGGAGAGCAGAGTCCCAGAAGCAGTGCTGTGTTCTCATTGTATCCTCTCCAAGGTGCATGATTTCAGGCTGTTCCTTTCCTGCTAGTGTTAATTTTGGTCACCTGATTAAAGTGGGGTTGCCAAGTTTCTCCAGTGTAAAATTGCTCTTTTCCTTTTGTAAAGAATACCTATTTGCTGGAGAGTTACTTTGAGGTTATGTAAATATTTTATTTTTCATTAAACTTTCACCCACTAGTTTTTAGCATGTATAGATAGATATTCATTAGATTAATTAGTTACTAGTATGATGTTTGCCAAATGGTAACTTTCTAATTCCATTATTCCTTCTATATTTATTGTTTTATAATCTGTTTCTATCATTATGTAGGACGTTGGTGGGGGAGGGTGGGATAGAAGGGTTGGTGAGCAGCCTTCCTTGGGCTCAGGGAGCTGAAAGTCTACCAGGGATTGTTTGGTTAGTTTGCAAGTAACTGTTGTAGATGATAGCAAGGAGATTAGTTAAGAGCAAGAGCGCTTCATGGAGAAAATTATATGATTGTGTACTGCTCAGTAACAAATTACCACAAACTTAGTGGCTTAAAACAACACAAACTTATTATCTTATACTTCTGGAGGTCAGGAGTACAAAATGTGTTTCACTTATGTTTTAGAGAATTAATAAGGAGTTAGCAGGATGGCTAGATTGAGGCCATTTTATGAGAGATCTTTAAAAGTGAGAATGAGTGTATGTTGGCATCTCTGCCATAACCACGTTTAGGGAGCACTTATTTGGCAGTTAGTAGGCTACAGTAGAGAGGCCTCCGGAGTGAAAGACCACTAGGGAGATTCATGATACCCGAAAACAGGAGCATAGGCCTTCACCAGGGCTGTGGGAATGGGGCTAAGAAGAGGAAAAATACTTTGGAATTGCTACTTATTGATTTGGCAAGTGACTGAATAAGAAGACAAGCATAAGCTCTTTATTCAGAATTTCTTGTGGTCTGGAGAGCTCTGTGAATTGATGGGCCCGGGGAAATAAATTTGGTTCTTGACCTTGCAACGCTCTCTTTTCTTGTAAATATCATGCTTTACACTAAATGCATTTTAATGTGGTAACAAAAAGCCACTCAAAGTGAGAAAACAAATTAAACTTGCATATTTTGCTAAGTGTGAGACAATATTTGTGGCCATTTGATACAATGTGCAATATTGCTTTATGTTATGTGTCTGCCTCAGGTAGACATTTTTCTACCATAGTCCCCATAGGATATTACTGTGATTCCATCAATAAGTGATCCTGCTCTGCAGCACAAGATATCATTATCCTTTCTCTTGTTCTTTAACTTGATTGCAAATCATAGCACCATTTCCCCAGGGCATCTCACACAGAGTGAATTCCTAACACATTTTATAGTCACACTGTAAAAGGATAGTGTTCTCTTTCTCTGTAAAGAGTGCCCAGTCATCTAAATTCTACTCTTTATGAATCAAATTTTGTTTACCATCAAACCATTATACATAATCACCAATAAAGTGAAGTAGTGCACTTCTTACAATTAAACTTCTTTAAAATAGAATTCTGTATTTTTCTTATTATAAAACTGTAGGAAATGTGTAAAATATGAAATGTTATAATGAATAAATTAAAACATTATGCCCACCATTAGACAGAACTTACCAATGTTATTCTCTTATTTATTTTTTCAATTTTCTTGTCTCTTTACTTGACCATATATATGTATTTAAAAACCAGAATTGTGATGTTAGTGTCTATATTGCTTTTATAGCCTTCCCCCCCATTTTACTTGAAAATATAATTTTCTTTGAATAGTCTTTGACAACCTAGCTATCAATGACTGCATACTTGTTTATATTATGAAGACAACACAGTTTATTTTGTTTTTTCCTTTGCATTGGACATTAACTTTTTCTAGTTCTTAAATAATTATGGAAGGCATGCCTTTAAAGAAATTGTTGTATGTTTGCTATTTCTTTGTGTTTGTAAGTGAAATTATTGGATTACAGAGTATAGAAAAAATTTTAAGCATTTGATAAATGTTTCCATATTACCCTCCATAAAGTTTTTTCTTCTAACAATATTACAAAGTTCAGATGTGAAAAATAAAAATTATAATGAAACAATATCAGATTTCTCAAAATATAGGCAAAATTTTCTGTGAATATTGTGTTAGGATGGACTATGTTTATTTTGCTCACATTTTATCCACAAACCCTAGTACATAAAAATATACAATAAATCACATTTCTTTTTAAAATAATTTAAATAAAATATATATACAGATTGAATTAATAATCAAAAATATTCAAAGAAAATCCTTAGACCTGATGACTTCACTGGTGAATTCTATCACATTAATTACCATGAGCTACCTAGCACGTTAAACTCCTCCAAAATGTTAGTGCTTTAACACATTAAGAGTCAATTTCTTGCACCTATCATAGCACAATCATGGTTGATAGGGGTTAGTTCTGCTCTGTGCAATTATTCTGGGACTGGGTCTTTTCCAGATCTTTGAGAATCTTTCAGTTAAGTCTGAGACTGGGAAAAGAGCTGCTGGTTGTGCATGAGAGGACTTTCGGGGCCAAACTCAAAGTGGCTTATTATATCATTTCTACCTACATGCATTGGCCAGAACTCAGTTACATAACTGTATTTCACTGCATAGGAGTCCAGGAAATGTATAGTTCAGCTATTTGCCCAAGAGAAAAAAGTAAACGGTTTGAACCATTAGACATTCTATGCATTACGTATTTTGCTAATTCCCATACAATTGCATATACATGCACACATACACACTCATACACCCATATGTACATGTCCTTTCTAAATCTTTGTGCTATAGAAACTATGAAGCAAAATATCCCATTATCCAGCTGTTTTACTCCTGGATGTATTCCAACCAAAATATATACTTCTAGTCACCAAAAAGAATGTCCTAGAATATTCATAGCAATACTTTCCATAATAGCCCCCAAATAGAAACTACTCAAATGACCATCACCAGTAGAATGGATAAATAAATTGTGAAAGACTCACTTAATGGAATACTATACGACAGTGAAAACAAATGTTCTGCATGCAGCAGTCTATATGAACTTCATAGTCAAAATGTTGAGCAAAACCCATGAGTGCATGTTGTATGATTCCATTTGTAAAAATATAGTACAAGCAGAACTAATATGAGAGGTTAGAAGCCAGGATAGGAGTTTTTCTTTGAGAAAAGTGGAGTTGTGGTTGCATGATGGGAGGACATGTCCTGGGTTCTGGTTATACAGGTTTGTTTGTTTTGTGAGAAATTTTCAAGCTGTCTACTTGGTTTGTATATTTTTCTTTATATTTAATTTTAGCAAATTTAAATATGAATAAAAAATGATCAGAAATACTGGAGAACTGTACAGAAAATTACTTTAGAGATTTTAGCATAGTGTTTTAGGCTTTTTGCTTCAATTAAAAATAAACAGATTTTTAGATGGCATAGGTATTTAGATTGAATTATGCATACTTATATTATACCTTAAAACATAGATGTATACATATGTTTATACTTAAAAATTTTTAGTTGTTGATCCTATATTACACCAAAAAGAAATCCTAAGGTCTTTCAAACAAGGATTGTACAGCCAATGTTGCATTAGGAAACTACCATGTGATAAACTAGATATTATTCTTAATACTTTAAACAACCAAATTAACCACTTGGATATCTCCTAAATAAATATTTGGTTGGTCATTAAATCAAGATGACAAAGATTATAATTGGTTTTTAGAAAGTAAAAGAAAAATATTTTGTAAAAGTTTGTCTAGCGGTCTAAAGCTGTATTCAGGGACAATGATGATTATTTCATAGTGTTAAATGCTTCCATTATTAAAGAAAAAGAAAAGAAATTAGTTTTACAATTCAATTTGGCAGGACAAGTATCAAACAAACCTATGGGAAATATGAGAAGGAAGGAGTAAGAGTAAAAGCAGCAAATAAGATAATTAGAAAGACAAAAGAAAACAGTAGAGCTGATGAATTAATCTAGGTACTTATTTCTTGAAAGGAAAAAGAAAAAAAACACAGCAATCTTGACAGTCCTCTGGCAAATGTCATTAGGAATAAAATAACACAAACATAGAGAAACAAAAGGCCCAATTAGATGGAAATTTTTAAAAACATAGAGTGCTTTATATCATTTTTTTACCAATGTGTTTTTTAAATTGCAGTGATAACAGCAAACCTGGGAAATTATAATGACAAAGATTTAAATATGTGAATAAAACCCTAATAGATGCAGAATTATTAGAGAGATTCGATTTTCAGTTTATGGTTTGACATCAGTGATTGTGAGTTTTTGCAAACTTGTGAAGAGGCCTTCCAGGCATAAGCTGGCTCTGCCAAGTACTCACATCACCATTTGGTCTTGGCCAACCTGCTTACCCTTGTTGAGTGAATGAATGAACCAGTGAATGAGTGCTCTTGTGCCTTCGTGGGGCAAAACAGCCCTCTCAGAGGTTATCATAGACTTCAGTTAGGTAATATATGTGACATTCTTAGTATAGGGACTACTAAATAGTAAGCATTCAAATAACAGTAGGTGTCATTATTCTCAGATGTCTTATAGTATATGGGAATCAAAATATCAATGAGTAATCTTTTGATATTTATATATTTTTAAGGTTATCCTGATCCAGAAAATTTTTCCTGGACAGAATATCTGGAAGCTACTCAAACTAGTGCAGTTCCTGCCAAAGTATTTAAAATGGTAAGTTTGTGTCCATATACATTCTCAACTTTAAACAATGTCCATGTTGAGTCATGCCTTTTTTGGGCAGTTTTAAATTATTCTAGTTTTTTTCTTTTTAAACTCATGACCAGTTTGCCTTGCTTTTATTTAAAAATACAGAGGAGGTGACTCATTTACTGTTGTTTCTGTGCATAAATGTAGGTGATGATTTCCCTCCTTGAAAAACACAGGCATCCCACAACAGTGCTGTTAAAAGCCCCTCATTAACCTCTAATGAGTGAGCCTTTCATTTCTGGTTCTATAAATTCACAACTCTCATGTCTTAGGGATTGTTTGAATGTCAAAGGTGCCATAATAAAATAGGGGAATTGTTTGTAGCCCAAATGCTACAGTTTTATCCACTTTGAGGGAAATATTGCTTTTAGCATTTGTTAAAATACCAACTTTTAAAGATCAAATTTGAATTTATTTACTTATTCCAGGATTGACCCAAGTATAAATTACTTTGTAAAAGAAAGTACTTTGATAGTATAGTTAAAAATATTTATGCTCTACACCAGTGGTTTTCAGACTTTGTTCCCTTTCAGCTCTAATGGTGTGCTCCCGGCTCCCCAACTTATCTTTAATCAGAATTTTATATAGTGAGCTTCTACATATGATTTCATTTGCTGAAACTTTTCTAAGGATTAAAAGGGTTTTAAAACAAAATGCTGTTTCATTTATTTAAAAAATTTATCATAATAGGCTGGATTTGGGAGGAAGAGGTATAATTAAATTAAGAAGACTAGACATTCTGGAGTATTAGAGAAGGTTTTAAGAATTCTAAAAAATTAATTAGCAAAATTATCAGTTGCTTTCAGTCTCCCTCTCTTGCTTTCTGTCAAAACTTCATTTTAGTTTCCCCAAAGGAAAATTACAAGAAAATGAAATTATGAAAAAGTTTAGCTAGACAACTTCTAGACTCTGGGGTTATTATTGTTTCACCTAAAGCTTTAGCATCTTCAATACAAACAAAACCTTGGTTGTGAGGTCAGTGACCTTGGGGAGAACAGGAAGATTTTCAGGGACCAGAGACCTAGTTATAGTCAGTATGCTCTGTTTAGTAGATTTAATAATGCATTTTAGAAAGAAAATATGCTTCCACAAAAGCTGGAGAGAAACAAACCACATATTGGAGAAAGATTTAACTGTTTATCACTCATGTATTATGAGAATTTTATTTTCCTATTGCCATTTCTAGACTTAAGAAATTCAATATATTTTCATTCTCAGTAAAGTGAATTGAACACTTCTATGTGTAGTAGCTTTCAAGGGAAACTTTTTTGCAAACCTATAAATACTGTCACAGATGTCTTTTGACTTTGATTTTGTTAAATTTCCTTAGTTTCAGTGTAAGTCTGAATATATTCTTCTGACTCCCATTTTCTTTATTATTACCTGAGTGTTCATCATTATAGACTCCCGGTTCCTGGCATTTTAAGTCTTAGAACAAACTTTAAATTAATACAGTTTAACATGCTTATGTTACAGATAAAGTAACAAAAATATAGGTCATGGCTTTAAATTGCATTGCAGTATTATTTTATAATAGTTTGACAGTTGAAACTATGAAGATTTTATCTAAATATTTCAAAATTTAGAGTTATAAAGGATTGTGGTTATCCCTTCTAATTACTTATTAAATAATTTTGCATTCTGGGTCATACACTCCAAAGCTGGGCAGTGAAAATAGTCAACAATTTCTTAATTTATAAGGTTAATTTCAGGAAAAAAATCTAAAGCAATAGATAAACTGTAATAAGATCCTTTTAGAACCTTGTGTGATCATTAATGAATTTATGATTTAATCTGTCTCTGTCCTTTTAGCTGTCTTGAAATGACCAAAAAATTCTTTCTCTTACACTTTTTATATAACTGTATAATATACATGAAGTCCTATGTCCTCTTAAAATCAAATTCAATTTGTATTAAAGATCTGAATGTAAAACTAGAACAATAATATTTTTGGAAAAATTTAATAGCATAACTGAATTGTTGAAATTTGCATGTCTTGTTGCACTTGTAATGTTACAGCGGTTACCTCATGGTTTTCTGCCGAATATGAAACTTGAAGTTGTGGATAAACGAAACCCCAGGTTAATTCGAGTTGCTACGATTATAGCTGTTGATGACCAAAGACTAAAGGTACACGTTTTAGATTATTACGTTGTTACACTGGCATTTCCTCTCGTTTCCTACAGAAGCTCTGATTTCCTGGCACAGTAGAAGAATAAAACTTCAACTGACTTCATTTCTAGTCAAATGTCTTTGGGTAGAGAGATTGCCAGCTGAGGTGACCTGTGATACAGGAAATCCATTGGTTAGACACAGCTGACTTTGAGAGGGCTTCGAAATACGTTCTTCTTTCGATTTGATGTTTAGACCTTATAAGCTTTCTTTCTTTCTTTAAGCTTCTTTTTGTTGGTATAAGATTTTTCTTGAAGTGGTTGTCATTTAACAGTTTATTAAGAACAATTAAGTCCTTGTTTTCTACCATTCTTTGTCACATCGAAAAGAAATAAATAGAAAACTTTAGTCATGATAGCTAAAGCAAAAGGTCAGATTTTGAAGTAAAGATTTGATTAACAGATTTTTTTACTGTCCTTTTGTGACATCTGGTTTTACAAAAATATATACATCTTCAAAATGAAATTTTCCTAAAATGAGAGCTTTTTATATTTTTTTATACAAAGAGCTAAAAAGCACTGTGGAATTCAAAAAAATCTGCATATCAAAGTTCAAAAATTATTTCCCACCGTAGGACAATTTTATTTTATAATAATAAAAAGATTGAAGTCAATTAATTTTAATAGACACTATCAAGAAAGGTGTATATAAGTTTGAAATAATTTAAAAGAAATCTTATTTGCTATATGCCTACTTTGAAAACAATTTTTAATTCATATCATAGAGAATAATCAATACATATATTTTAGTAAAATTTAGAGACGAGTATTTGGCTTTGCCATAGATTATCAAGAGCAGATATTGGCAATGTTTTTTTATTCTTCTGACAAGTGAAAACAAAAACTGTTAAACACTATTTAGGAATAATATGTTATAGCTATTTTCTTCCACATACTTTGTTATTAATGCTTTATTTTAAATTTAATTTTAAGCATGTTGCTTACATTTGTATTTATTTGGTTTTGTTATTGTTTACTTTGATGACAACTATTGTGAGAATAACTTTTGGATATCACAGTCACTTTATAAATTTAGTAATATTTTGTCATTGAAATTAGCATCAGGTTTTTTTCCCCTCTGAATTCTCACTTAACTTTTATTTTAAAATTATAGTAAACCCTCGATTTTGCAGACCTTGATTTAACAGACTTCAGATTTATCAGACAAAATTTCTGGTCCATATGTCATATGTGAAAATTCACACCCTGTTAATTTTAAAATGCTTTTAACCAAGTTTGCTTATAATTAAGTTAACCAGTTATTTTTTTGTTATTGATTCAGTTATTTTTAACAAATTTTAGTGAATAGGTCATATGTTGGAAAAAACACTGTAGTAATTTCACTGACATAAATAAATATTACATATCTACAACTATAGTCTGCATATTTAAATCCAAGAGTCACTGCTTGTAATCAATGTTTGGAGAATGACCTTGCACGGTAATTGGTTCTGTTGTCATGTGGGGTGGCTTTCTGCAGCAGTTTGTTTTTTAAAATTTAATTTAATTTAATTTTTAAAATTTATCTTTATTGTCAAAAGCATTACAAGTGTCCCCCTTTTTCCCCATTGACCCCCTCCACCCTGCATCCACTCCCCACCCCAGGCCTTCACCATACTCTTGTCTGTATACATAGGTTATGCATATATGCATGTAAATTCTTTGGTTAATCTCTCCCCACCCACCTTCCCTCTGAGATTCGTCAGTCTGTTCCATGCTTCTTTGTCACTGGATCTATTTTGTTCATCAGTTTATTATGTTCTTTAGACTCTACATATAAGTGAGATCATGTGATATTTGTCTTTCTCTGCCTAGCTTATTTCGCTTAACATAATATTCTTCAGGTCCATCCATATTGTCCCAAAGAGCACGAGATCCTTCTTCTTTATAGCTGCATAATATTCCATGGTGTAAATGTCCCACAGCTCTTTTATCCACTCACCTACTAATGGACACTTGGGCCTGTTTCCAGATATTAAGTATTGTAAATTGTGCTGCTATGAACATAGGGGTGCATATATTCTCCCTGATTAGTGTTTCAGGATTCTTAGGATATATTTCTAGAAGTGGGATCACTGGGTCAAAAGGCAGCTCCATTTTTAATTTTTTGAGGAAACTCCATACTATTTTCCATAGAGACTGCACCAGCCTGCATTCCCATCCTTTCTCCACATCCTCACCAGCATGTGTCATTTGTTGATCTGTTGATGGTAGCCATTCTTACAGGTGTGAAGTGATACCTCATTGTGGTTTTAATTTGCATCTGTCTGATGATTAGTGACATTGAGCATTTTTTCATATGTCTCTTGGCCATTTGTATGTCCTCTTTGGATATGTGTCTATTCAGGTCCTTTGCCCAATTTTTAATTGGACTGTTTGTCTTCCTCTTGTTGAGTTGTATGAGTTCTTTGTACACTTTGGAAATTAGCCCCCTATCAGATGCATTTTTGTCAAATATGTTCCCCCATACTATGGGGAACTTTTGTATTTTGAGGCTGATTTCTTTTGCTGTACAGAAGCTTTTTAGTTTGATGTAGTCCCATTTTGTTTATTTTTTCTTTTGTTTCTCTTGTCCATACTACCCAAAGCAACCTATAGATTCAATGCAATTCCTACTAAAATACCAACAACATATTTCACAGAGCTAAAACAAATATTCCCAAAATTTATATGGAACCATAAAAGACCCTGAATAGCCACAGCAATCTTGAGAAAGAACAGAGTTGAAGGGATCACTTTACCAGGTATCAAACTATACTACAAAGCCATTGTAATCAAAGCAGCCTGGTATTTGTTTAACAGCAGACATGTAGATCAATGGAATAGAACAGAGACCCCAGAAATAGACCCATGCCATTATGGTCAGTTAATATTTAACAAAGGAGATAAGAGCATACAATGGAGTAAAGACAGTCTCTTCAATAAATGGTGTTGGGAAAATTGAATAGGTGCATGCAAAAAAGTGAAACTAGACCACCAACTTACTCCATACACAAGAATAAATTCAAAATGGATAAAAGACTTAAATGTAAGTCACGAAACCATAAAAATCCTGGAAGAAAACATAGGCAATAAAGTCACAGACATCTCATGTAGTGGAATTTTCACCTATACATCTGCAGCAGTTTTAACGCATGCCTTTTTAATTCCTTTTTCAATTACTCTTCCATTGGCAATCTGATTCAACATACTGGAAGTCCCATAGGATAAACTGATCTTATTTGAATTCTAGCGCTGGCTCTTATTTAACTGTGATATTAACTTGGTGGTTACTCAACTTATTTGAATGTTCCTTATCTGTAAAGTGATGGGGCTGATAATACCTACCTCATTAGCTTGTTGTGGAAATTTAGTGAAGTGATACATGTGAAATACCTGAAACTGTGCCTGATTCTTTCTAGGTACTTCATGGTAACTGATATTATTAATAAAATGCCCTGTGCTACTCTCCATGGGCACCTTTATTTTCTGTGTCACTGAAGGGGCCTCTTGGAGCTACATCTCATCAGCAGATGGAGAAGAAAAAAGTCCACAGTCCTTGGTGAACAAAGCAGAGAGTTTGGAATTTCCCTGGGGAATGCTGATCTGAGCATATGTGATTGAGCAGCATGGCGGTGTTTGACTCTTGAGAGTATAGTCATTCTGTCCAACAATGTTATGATATTAGTAATGGTGATAATGACTATGATAGCAGTTAGTTTTTTCAGATACTCTTCTAAGGGCTTTACATGCATATTGTATCCTCACAGCAACTCTGTGACATAAGTACTATTATTATACTCATTTTATAGAAGAGGACAGTGAAGTCCGGAGAGGTTAAGTAATTGGTCCAAGGTCACAAGCTAGTGTATGAGAGAACATTTTAAACCCTGGCTTTCAGAGGCTTTCAACTCTAGAGCTTATAGTCTTACTTCTACCCTTCTACTCTTCTGTTCTAATTTCTATCGTAAATATGCCACTTTAGAGTGAGACAGCAGAGCTCTAGGACAGGGAGTAGAGTTTACTCATAACCCCACCTACTTTGTCTTTTGTGCTGAATGGCGTTGCTGATCCTGCTTGCAGGTTTGTGTGTGGTACTGGCACTTCCTGGCAGAGCATAGCAGATTCAGTAAAGACTGACTTAATTCCTCTCTGCCATACCCCAAATATGTATTTGCCCTTATGTGCTTGATTAATTCTATTTTTATAACAGCTTTTTAAAGATAATATGTTTTATTGATTTCAAAGGGAGGAAGGGAGATGGAGAGAGAGAAATGTCAATGATGAGAAAGTCATTGATTGGCTGCCTCCTACACGCCTCCTTCTGGGGATCAAGCCCAAAACCTGAGCATGTGCCCTGACCAGAATTGAACTGTGATCTCATGGATCATAGGTCAATGTTCAACCACTGAGCCATGCCAGCCAGGCTATAACAGCTTTTTTGAGATATAATTCAAACATCATAAAATTCATTAGTTTTGGGTATATTCCCAGAGTTGTGCAACTAATTACCACTACTTAAGTTTAGGATATTTTATTCCTCTCCAAAAGAAAGCTCGTACCCATTAGCAATCACTCTTCATTGTACATCTCCACCCAGCCCCTGGCAATCACTGATTTATTTTCTGTCTTTATGGATTTGCTCTTCTGAACATTTCACATGAGTGGAATCATACAATATGGAACCTCTTGTATCTGGCATCTTTCACTTAGCAGGTTTTCAAGGTCCATTCATATTTTAACATATTTTAGTAGTTCATTCCTTTTTATTTTTGCATAGTATTTCATTGTAAGAATGTACCATATTTTGTTTATCTTTTCATCATTGATAGACATTTGGATGGACACACTTGGGTGTATATCTAGGAGTGGAATTGCTAAGAGTTATATGGTAACACTTTAACATTTTGAGGAACTACCACAGTGTTTTCCAAAGTAACTGTACCATTTTACATTCCTTCCAGCAGTATATGAAAATTC